GATGGAGTCTGTCCCAGATGCAGGGCTGGGCTGTGCCTGCTTCCTGTCCAGATTCAGGTTGAGGAGCGACACACGATCTTGGCAGACGCACACGTGGTTGGTGCTGTCCCCAGCATAGGTCAGGCCGAAGGCCCTGCCTGCAGGTGCCTGAGTGCTGTGGGCAGTTCTTTAGTCAACAGGAAAGTGCTTTTCCAGCTCATGGGGGTTTAGTGTGGTGAGAAAGCAGCAGAACTGGAGGACTCAGCCCCTGTGCATGGGTCCATCCCTGCCCTGGCCAGATGACCGAGCTCTGAGGGGTACCGGGGACTGCATGAGCCCAGGCTAGCACCATGGGAAGAGCAGGCTGAGGGCCGGGGGACATGTGTGGACAGGCCAGCACCCAGGGCCAGGGTGGCCAGGCCTAGAGGCACCAGGAGCTTCCCAGGAGAGCATGGACTACAGCCCTGTGACAGATGAAGTCTCGGGGAGGCCAGGGCCTGAAAGTGGAGCCCCAGCTCCAGCAGCTCTGAACACACAGGCAACAAACAGGTAGGGCTGGGTGATACGGCTGTGGGTGGGGAGCCAGCCTGGACAACCAGAGAGGCCCAGACAGGGACACACCCAGGGAGATGCTGCCCCAATCACTAGCTTGGCCTGTGGCCCACCAGACCTCACCCAGCCAGCTCACAGCCCTACCTATACCCATGAGTCAGGACCAGTGCTGGCCACTGGATGGGGGTGTCACCTCCGGAGTTGGGCAAAGTTTTGGGCTCAGGCTTTGGGCAGCAGGCCTTCCTGCCAAGGGGCTGAGCTGGGCAGGGAAGGCCATGCTGTGACACTGTTGGGTCTCTGCATGCCTGGGCTCTGGAGGAACAGTCACTCCCTTCTGGGCAGTGTCCCAGCCCCATGGGATGCAGGGCTGTCCTGGGCCTGGCCAGCTGAGGGAACCCCTTGTCAGGACATCCCAGGTCCTGCAGCCCTACCCCACCCGGCTCCCAGGCCTGTGCCTGCTGAGGGGCTGGGTGGGCACTGGTGGGCCACAGGCCGAGCTGGCAACTAAGGTGGCATCTCCCTGGATGTGGCCCTGTCTGTGACTTTCCAGTCCTTCGGGCACTGCACCGCCTCAGAGTCATCGCCCTGATGTCCTGTGTGTCCTCACTTCCTTTGACACAGGACTTTGAGGCCAGAGGAGGCCTTGTGTGCCCCTCCACGGTGCAGGGGTGTAGCCTTGGGGGGGGGGAGTTGGGAGCAAGGTCATTCTGTTGCCCAGGGCTTGCTGACTTCTGCAAGGAGATGGACACTAGTGGGTACCTGCCTCCCTTCTAGGCAGGACACTCAGGGACCACAGGACACAGCAGCCTGAGGTAGAGTGGAGCTGCCCACTGCCAGTCTGGCATTGAGGGCACAGGGCCCCAGTCAGAGGAAGTGCTTCCTCCTGTGTGTTCGTGTGGCCCCACCACCTGGGCCAGGCGAGGGGCTGTGGGTGGGACTTTGGGGGAGGTGCAGGGTAGGGTCAGGGGGATCAGGCTGGGGGTGGGACCTGGAGACATGGGGGAGGGTCCCAGGGAGATCCCCCTATTCCTGCCTCTAGCGTTTCCTGGCACTGGGAATAGTATGTGTTAAATCGTGGTTGAGAGCTTTGGTGTGAATTTACACACAGAATTCAGTCAGGGATCGGAGTGGAGCCTCCCCATCACCCCAGCCAGGCTGTGCTCTAGTCCTGCTAATAGGGGCCCAGTCAGGGCTCAGACCTTAACCCCAGGCACTGAACTCCAGCAGCCTGCTCTGCACGCCCAGAGAGGGTCAGTAGCACCCTGGCCTAGGTCCCAATGGAGTACAAGTTCTGGCAAGCAGAGGTGCAGAGGTCCTGAGAGGTGCCACAATGCAAGGGGCTCAGTGTCGCTGTCTGGCTCCAGCTGGTGCCTTTATGCTGCTAGTGCCTGTCAGCCTGGCATGGCTTTCACGTCCCACCATGCCCTACCCAGGAAGTGCCAGTCTGGCCAAGGCTGCTGGTGGTGGGTGTGGCCTGGGTCACTGCCCACTCTCCAGGCACTCTGGTTGGTGGACAGGGGCTGTGATGGCTCGGTCCACCCCCGCTGAGGACTTTGATCTGTCTGGAATCCCTGGTGTGTTGCTCCACCCCCCTCCACTTCTCTCACCCCCTTACCCCCCTCATCTTGGGGCCTTAAGCCTATGCACCCCCAGACCTACATGGCTCGGGGCCAGGGAGACCTGGGCTACTGGCTACCTCAGGGCCTGGGCCCTGCCTGTAGTGGGTGGGCGGTGGCACTCAGGCCCTTTCCAGACCCACTTCCAGAACCTGTGAGCCCAGGCACTGCCCAGCAGCGCAGGCTGAAGCTGCTGGCCCCAGAGCATACCTCAGGACTCCCGAGGTCCAGAAACAGCGCTGAGTCATGAGCTCACTGAAGCCCCAGCTGCCCACTCTCTGCCCCGTCTCCTTGGCCCTTCAGTCACTCCCTCGGGACCTGTCAAGGGGCAGGCCTTTCTCTGACCTGTGGAGAAAGCAGGATCTTTGTCTGGACCAGAGCCGCCCAGCTCCCTCCCTGTGTGGGGCTGAGTGAGAGGCAGAAAGGAGGCCAACCCAGTCCTTCAGGGCAGGGGAAGGAACCAGTGGCCTTGACCGGAACTCAGATACCTTAAGGGGTTGTAGAGAGGGGGTGGAGACTACAGGCCCAGTGAGGGTTCCCCCATGGCAGTGCTTGTCCCAAGAGCTGGGCGAGGCTGCATGTGGCTTTGGCACTGGCCAAAGAGCTCCCTGGGGCCTGGTGTCCTGCTCCACCCACAAATCCCCTGTCTCTGAGGCTGCAGCTGTGGGCAGCCACGCATGATCAAGGTGGACCTTAGCATGTCTGGATCGCACACACCTTGGCCCCGATCCTCACTGCCTGGTCCTCATAGTGGTCTCTCAGGACAGATGGGTCTGAGTGGACACACACTGGGCTTCTCTCTGCCTGATGCCGCCTGTACACTCTGGAAACAGGTATGCTCCAGGAGGGCAGGGGCACACGTCACGTCCCACATTCACTGCCCACAACAGTGCCAGCTCATGGAACTTGGTGAGTGCTGGCTGGCTGGTTGATTGGTTTTCTGGTTATCTGGCTGGTTGGTTGAGAAGCTGGTTGGCAGACTTGTTCATTGGTTATCTGATTGGCTAGCTGACTAGTTGCCTGGTTGTCTAGTTAGCTGGGTAGTTAGTTGAGTGGCTGTTTGGCTAGCTGGCTGATTGTTCGTGTGGGCAGATGAGTGGGCTAGCAGATGGACAGATGAACAGGTTTTGGGGGCTCATGACCCAAGGGCGAGTACCACCACAGAGACTCCCACCTGCCTTCCCAAGGCAGACACGGTACCTGTCAGCCCCACACGTGAACAGGGAAGTCCAGGAATCTGACTTGGTCATTCTGGTTCTGCGTGCGAGTGCGAAGGAGAAAGCAGCCTGCCTTCTCCCCTTTCCGCTGTGTGTGGCTTTGTTCCAGCCCTGCCTTTTCCCCCATGGCCGGGTACCCTTATGCAGTGAGCAGCCCACACAGCTGTTCTTGGAAACCCTGAGCCAGGCTGTTCTTGTCCCTGCAGTGTCTCTGGGCTGAGCCTCTCCCTGGTCAGGTGCCTCCCCTGAGCCCACCAGGAGTGCAGTGATGACAGCATCCCAGAAGGTCGGCAGCCACACCTGCAGCTGCCTTAGTGCCTCTGGGGGTGCTGGAAACTCACATTTCTAAAGGACTCACAGTGAGGCTGAGGCTCCAGGAACCCTGTGGCGAGAGTTGCTGGGAGGTGTGGGACACAGGTCCTTAGCCAGGCAGGCAGATTCTGCCCACCCAGAGGCTGGCACATGGGCAGAGTGGTAGGAGGGCCCTCAGAGGGCCCATTGCCAGCCCATGAGACAGAGACACACAGCGGGCCCCTGTTCTCTATGTGCTGACATAACATTGTCTTCCACTGTCCAGATCCCACCCTGCTGCCATGCTCACCCCCCTGCACCTCGCACATGGGCCTCAGGCTGCACTGAGCAAGGTCCTGTTAGCCTACCTGGATGTGACCTGACACCACAGGGTCTTGTCACCTCTGTCTACCATACGGGACAGGAATACTTGTCAGGCAGTAGCTGTGGAGCAGGCTTGAGGTAAACAGTGGGAGAGCTTTCCTGCCTAAGGGCGGGGGCACCTGCCTGGTCCAGGACAGACTTGCAGGGCTTCCACAGGCTCGCAGAAGTGACCAGATGTGGGGCTTTGGCCACAGGTGTGGCTGAGTATACATGGGGGACTCTGGAGTGGGCAGGTGGGGCAGACGGGTAGGCATCCACACAGGCCTGAAGTGTCCCTGCACGGTGTGCTGCTTGCTGGCCAATGTCTCTGCTTGGGCAGCAGGTGTCCCTGCAGCACCCAGAGGGGTTGGTATGGGCATGAGTTGCCTGCCAGCCTTTCCAGGCTGGGCCTCTGATGCCCAGCCTTCCTTCACATCTGCAGATTCAGAATCACTTCCACATGAAAAGTGGTGTGCACACAGGGTTCTGCTCTGGCCTGGTTGGGTGCACACCTCCAGGCCTCAGCTTTCCACTGCAGGCTTCTCTTTGGAGCTGCTATAATAACAAAAGACTGAACAGCAGCCACAGAGTGCTACCCAGGGGGTGCTGCTGCCCTGGGTCCAGGGTCAGCTCCATTTTGCAGGTGGCAAACTGAGGCACAGTGGCCTGAGGGCACATAGCCAGGGAGTTACTATGACATCAGTTGGGAGTACTTTGGGCACAGTCAGTGTGGCTGGGCATGGACAGAGACCTCGTGGGCTCCCTGCTGCACCAGAACATCCTGGCAGTGGGAACGTGCTCTGCACCAGCTGGGCCCCCAGGCCAGCAGTGGGCTGGTAGGGCCCTGCCCACCACCAACCTCCCCACAGCACCACCCTCAGTGAAGTCACCCAGTGGCAGCTGCCAGGGAGGCCCCAGGCCGGGTCTGTTGCACACAGGACCAAGGGTGTGCTGTACTGAGACTGTCCATCTCTGTCCACAGATGAAGGTCACCATGTCCAGAGAGGCTGACCAGAACAGTGATGATGACAGTGTCCTTGAAGCCACCAGCTCCTGCCGGAGCCGCTCCCAGGATCAGCTCAGTGACGTGAGTCTCCACACCTGCGCCCTGTTGATCGCCCATGAAGCCTGGACTCTGTCATGGGATTACAGGTTCCCTGGGGCTCTGGTTAGTGATTGTCAAGCCTCACAGTACCCAGGTCTTACCTGAGGACCCCAGGCCAGTTTCTGGGGGATGGCCCAGCCACCAGGACCCTGTGCGGGAAGCCAGCTGTCCCCTTATGGTCCCTGTACTGGTTGGTGGCTGTCGGTAGAGTTTGTCTGCAGTGAGCTTAGACTTGGGGCCCTGTGCGCGGACATTGAGCAGGGCTGTGGGGTACACTGGGTATGGAAGGCACCTCTGCTTCTGGGAGCCACCCTGGCACCGATTGAGGCCACAGCAAGGTGGGTGGTGTGTCTTTTGGGCCTGGCCTCACAGGCAGGTGGCCCTCGGCATAAGCCCACTCAGATAGGGGGTGGGGCGGTACACAGCCAGGGATTTGACCCAGAGTTGGGGTACAGGAGCTGACCCAGCTCTTTCGGTGGCCCAGGGTCACTGGAGCAGCCCTGGGGTCTGGCTGCAGGTACAGATGATCAGAGTACCCACAGAGCCTGAGGCCGCTGCCCAGCCATCATCCTCACCTGCGTTTTCTTCTGTACACTGTCCACCCCACTCCTGAGCCCCTGTGGACTCCAGGCAGGACAGGCGTAGGGAGAGATGGGGGGGAGTGCTCAAGCACAGGTGGGGATGGGAACTGAACCTCGAGATTTCGGCTGTGCACACACAGAGGCCAGGGCATCTGGGGGATGTGGGCCCAAGAGGGAGGGGTCATGCTGCTGTGGGAGGGCCCTGGTGCCCAGCAGTGTGCCCGCCCCGGCTGCAGGCCCTCCTGGCCGCCGAGCTTCTCAGCTTGCTTTCCTTTCTTGTGGGATGTCCTCAGCTGGGGTAATGGGCCCTGGGGTGGGATGGCCATCACTGACTGTCCTTTCTCCTCTTCCCACAGAGCTCGGCGCAGGCGGTGTCTGGGAAAGGCTACTCTGTAAGTCCCCTACCCTTCTCTTGCCAGAGCCCCACTGAGAGGCTCCCGCCGCCCTGGCATCACCCTCCCTTCTGAGGCCTGGCTGGTTCTGTCCCTGCAGCTAGGACACAGTGAGAGCTCTGTGACCTGGGCGGGTTTCCAGGGAGCACCCAGTTCAGGGCCACCTGCTAGTCTGGAACTGCGTCAGGCCCTGGGTGCTAGGAGGGGGGAGCCCAGGAAGGATCCAAGGGTGGCACAGGCTCTGGTGCCACTTGCGGGCCTTAGTAGGCTGTGTGTAGTGGAGAACTGCAGTGGGCCTATAGCCCTGGGCAGTGAGCCATGTGCTTCCGAGTGCTGCTGCGTGGGGCCTTTCCTTGCCTTGTGATACCCTCAGGCAGGGCAGGTGAGGACCACATGCTGGCATCCCTCAGGGTAGCCCCTGTGCCCTCCTCCTGACTTATTTCATTTCCTCCTAAGTGTCAGGAGGCACGTTAATGACACTGTAAAACCCAGAGCTCTGTAAAACTGTTGGTTTCTGCAATTTATGGCCCTTCCCCTGTCCCTGCAGCCCTGGTTTACTGCTAGCTGTCAGCCACTCTGTACATCACAGCAACTTTATGGGGTGCATAATTAACCCATTAACTGCCCCTGAGGAACCAGCAGGGACACCCCAGGTCCCAGGGCACTGGAGAGGGAGCACAGAGTGATGGCCATGAACCCGCTCCTGCCTCCTCCTCCCTGTGAGGGAGGGCCAGTGGCCAGCGCTCCTCTGACCTTAGCTCAGCCCCCACCTGGGGAGTCCTTGAGTCTGTGGCTTGGGTAATCCTAGAGGGCACTTCAGGGCTTGAGACTGTGGTGGTGGGGACCCAGACAATGGCAGCCACTTCAGCTCTCTACATCCTCCTTTAGGGTCAGCCTGTCTTACCCTCATGGTTCCTGTGAGCAGTGCCAAGCAGGGCAAGACATTGTACAGCCAACACCCACACCCACATACTGCCATCTGGGGACCTCCAGGACCACGGGAGCCACCAATGTGCTTGCCCACATGTGGCAGTGGGCAGGACTAAGGCCACTGCATACAGAGCTGTCCCTACACCTGGGAGATGCCTTGCAGAGGAGCTCGACCTGAGTCCCCTGGGGCAGGAATGCCAGGTCCCTGGGCAGAGGCCAGGCCTTGTGGTTTACATGATATCTAGGAGCACAGAGAGCAGCCGTGCCTGTCCACAAGGAGTTCCCTTGACTAGGACCTCCCTGCTCTGAGCCTGAGCCCTTTGTTATTTAGATCCTCTCCCCAGATGCTGCTTTGTCTGTGTTTTCTAAAAGCAGCCTACATTCAACCTCCCAGTTGACTACCACGGTTCCCATCTGGGTGGGAATCCAAGCACTCCTGGAGCCCTGGCATGTGCTGACCCTGATGCATATGGCCAGCTTCCATGGCAGCTAAGGGGTGTTCTAGCTCCACAGGCAAGGGAGAGCCTAGGGCCTGTCTCCCCAACACCTGTAGGCTGTCACCACCGCCATAGAACTCTGCCTAGAAGCCATGTGGGGTGCAGGTGTGTAGTCATCAGCTTTCCCATCATGGGGACCCAACACCCAACATCCATGGTATAAGCGGGTTTAATTCAGCTTATGTTTCAAGGGGATTCAGTCCGTGGCCAGCTGACTCCAAGGCACAACTTTCATGGCAGGAGGGTATAAGGGAGCAGAACAGTTCACAGTGGCTGGGAAACAGAGCAGGGGACCAGATCCAGGCCAGAAGGCCACACATCCTCCGCCCACTAGGTACACTGAGAATGTGCCTCACCATCCCTGGGCAGTTCCCAAGCCAATCAGGCTGATGGTCACAGGGCAGGTGCTGGGCCCAGGCAGAGACAGAGGGATTGCGTGTCAGCCTCCCAGAAGGCCTGAGACTGGGGCTGAAATGAGCTGTGCCCAGGACTGAGGTGGCTGTGCCTGGGTGAAGTGACCATGCCTGTGTGGAGGGGGAAATTCCCAGGCTGAGAGGGCCATGCCATGGTAAACTACATGGGGCTAAAGTGACTGTGCCAAGAAGGGGCTCAGGCTAGGCAGGGCCAGGACAGGGTGGCTATGACTAACACCGGGTCGCAATGCCTTAGGCCTGGGCATGAGTGTCAGCCATTCATGTGGGTACTTTGTGCCTGAGGGGGTGGGCACCCATCCTGTGCACAGCTTACACCTGGCTTTTTGTATGGTGTGTTGACACACATCTGTGTCACACAAGGTGTCTGTGGACACAGCCTGCATGGGGACTGTACTTGCCTCTTCTGGAGGAACTGCACAGTTTTCTCTGGGTTTCTGTGTGTGTATACAGTGTGCATGCTTCTACATCTCATGTCTGCATGTCCCTGTGTGTCTGTGTGTACACTTGTGTACACATCTCTGCAAGTCTCGACGTGTGTATGCATCCCTGTGTATCTGTGTACAAGCCTCCATGTCCTGTGTTTCTGTGTCTATGTGCATGTGCCACAGCCATGTCCCCCAGTCCGTTGGGGAGCCCTGCTGTGCACTTTGTGTACGTTCACATGTGTGTGCCTAGCAGGTGCCACCTACTTGCAGCCCTTTCCTCCCCTCCCTGTCCTGGGCCTGTGCTAAGTGCCATGGCCTTGTCAGCCGGCCTGGCTTTCCAGATGGTGCATTAAGATGGATTGATGTCGCCCAGCTTCATCCCCATGGGCCCCCACTGTTGCTTCTCCATGGCAGCTCTTGTCCAGAAGTGCAGCCCAGCACACCCAATGCCCTATTGGTCAGAGTGTTGTCCTAATTTGGTGACGGCACAGCCCTGCTGGGCTGCAACCACCTGCCTTTTGGGACATAGGATGTTCTAGCAGAGCTGTTCACCAGGCATGAAGGGTTGTGGGGTCCAGGGTGGAGGCTCTCCTAGCCATGAGGCTCAAGGCCTAGGGGCCCAACTGGGCCTCCAAGGCTCTGGCTCCATGTCCTACAGGGCCACCACGCAGCTCCAGCTGGGCCTGAATGTGTATCCACCGGCATACCAGTCTCGGTGTGGTACACGCTCCCCATGGTCAGTGTCAGGTGGCTAAGGTGTGGCTGAGGCCTTCGGTTACCATGACCCTGGGAGCTGATAGGGTCAGCACTGAGGTCCCACACAGTCACAGGTGTGTGGCCCGTGTGCAGGCAGGGACCTCACATGCAGGACACCATGGCAGTGTGAAAGTGCAGGGGAGCCTGGATTGAGAACAGGGCTCTGTCCCACCTTTCCATGAGCCCAAAGGCATCGAAGCCACCCTGATGCACCTGGCCTGTGTCCTTGCATCTCCACTCCTTGGGGTTCCCCTTCCCTCCCCTTCCCATCTTCTCCTGAGCTCTCTGCACCTCCCTTTGTATCTCTCAACTTGATTCTGTCCTCCAGCAACTCCTCTGCCATAGGTGGCTTTGCCCCCCACCATTGCCCATCAGGTGGCCAGGGCCTTCCTCAGCCTGCCCAGCAGGACACTGGGACAGGTGTGTCATGCTGGGCTATGGGGCAGTTGGCCACTATGCCCTGCTCAGTGCCCAAGCAACTGGCACAGCCCACGCTGGGCGTGTCATGCCATGTGTGCAGGTGACAGCAGTGGTGTCTGAAAGCAGGTACAGAAACAGCTCCTGGAGCGAGTGCCATGCAGGGCTGTGCCACGGCACTTGGCCTTCATCGTGGCTGCTGTTTCAGTGTTGCTCCCAGTCCTCCTGGTGGGCTCCGGAAGGTGTCTTGGGCTAGTGCACTTCCCTGTGCCTGGGCCAAGCTCCAGAACTCTAGTGGTACCCAGCACCTAGTGGTAGACACCTGTGTCCCCAGACTGGTGTGGTAGGGGCCTTGCCCCAGCTGTGGGGCCAGCCCTGCTCATGCAGCCTGACTCTGCAGATGGGCTACTGGGTCCCAAGAAGATGGAGGCCCCACGGTAGGAATGTGTTCCCCTCCCGCTGGCCCTCCTGGGCCGCAGCTACCCATCATTACCAGAGGCTGGCTGTCTGCATCCAGCCCACCCCAACCATGAGACACCATTGCTAGGCCCCAGAACTCCCAAAGTCCAGCTCAGGGCTGTCCAGTCCCTCACCGTGTGCCCTAGGCTGTGAGGGCTACTGATGCTGTCCCTTGGGGATCCACCATGGTCCACAGGTGCAGAAGACTCTGTGTTTGGGGCACAGTGGCTGCTACGCAGGGCAGAGAGGTGGCCCAGCTGGAGAATGGCCTGGCAAGCTGGGGGACCTGGCAAGTGAGGGGCCATGTGGGGACTAGGCACCCTGGGAAGTAGAAATTCAATTATTTGGGAGCAGGCATGCAGCTGTGACACAGAAGGTTAGGGATTAGTGTTAACAGCATTTCTGCTTCAGGCTTTGTGTTGGTAAATAATTCATGAGGCAGTTAGCACTGTGAGTCTGACAACACATGAACAGCCAGCTCAGAAAGGTCAGCGTGTGCCATCGCAGGCCGGGCCATCTTTCATTCATTCCCTGACACAGCCAATAATTCTTCCTGCAAGAGAGAAGACCCAGAGAAGAAGAAGGAGGATGCTCAGGGTTGCTGCAGGACCTGGACAGCCCAACTTCCAAGGGAATGGAGAGGAGGGAGGTGAAAAGCAGAAGCGAGATGAGCCTGCCCGAGGGCAGAGGGGAAGAGTAAAGGCAGGCGCTAGCCGGCTCTGTGGTTCAGGGTGACAAGTGACCTGGGACCTGCAGGACAAGAGGGAGCACATCTGAAACCCATGTGCAAGTGTGAGCAGATTCAGGCATGTGTGCAGACGGCTGCGTGCCTGCATATACCTGACTGGCAGATGCACGTGTGTGCCTGTGACTGCATGCGTGTGTGCCTCTGTGTGAGTACCACCTGGACTGCACTGGCTGGGGGTGCCTGGTCACAGCTAGGTCCTCAGGTACCTGCAGGCCTCCATGGACGAGGAGCAGAGCTGGGAGACCAAGGAGTGGGAGCCCGTGCTAATACTGCACACACAGGACGATGCCCTCACTGTAGGTTGGGACCCAGGTTGTGTGGCAGCAACAGAATA